GTGATTCTCTCTCTCAAGGTATATGGTTGTCTTTGAGAGGTTACTCCAACTCTGTCTTCTGTTTCTTCTGTAATGTGTGTGGCTAATTTTGTAGCACAAGTGCGTATGTAAGATTATCTTCAGCTAGATGTATCCTTGGTCTAGGGTATATTCCTGTTTGCTGACCCCCTCCTGATCTTCTCACTTGTCTATGCACTTATCTGTAGCCTGGTGTTTGGTGTTAGTGGTAATGCAATATTGTGCATACACTAGCATTTGCCTCTGTTGCCTTCATCTTATGTGCATATTTCAGTGTCCTTCCTTTCCCCATGTCATCATGCTGGTCACAGACTCTGTCCATACCACCCCTCCCCTCACCCAAATCAACATGTGACCCCAACTAGTCCACAATTTTCCCTTCCCTGCCCTCTCATGCCCTGTAACCTACAGCATGAGTTTCCTTCCCTAAGTAAACCTTTCCTTGACTTTCTGTAAGAATGGACTCAAACAATATTTGTGCTTCTGTGACTGACATTTCACTCAGCATAATGTCCTCCAAAATCATCCATGTTGTGAGATGATTCATGGATTCTTTATTATTCTTTGATATAGCACAGTATTCCATTGTGTGAATGTACCACAGATTGGTTATCCATTCATCTGTTGGGCATTTAGATTGTTTCCGTCTCTTTGCTGTAGTGAATTGTGTTGTGATGAACGTGGGTGTACATATGTCTGTTCTTGTCCTGGCTCTCACCTCTTTAGGATATATACCTAGTAATGGAATGTCTGAGTCAAATGGTATTTCTAATTCCAACTTTTTAAGAAATCACCATACTGCTATCCACAGTGGTTGGATCATTTGACAATCCCACCAGCAGTGTATGAGAGTCCCAACTCTCCATATCCTTGCCAGAATTTGTTATTTTCGGTCTTGTTGAAATTTGCTATTATTGCTGGGGTGAGATGATATCGCATTGTTGTTTTGATTTACATCTTTCTAATGGCTAATGATCATAAACATTTCCTCATGTGTTTGTTGACTGCCAATATACCATCTTTAGTGAAGTGTCTGTTCATGTCCCTTGCCCATTTTGTAATTATATTGTTTGTCTTTTTGGTGTTGAGATGTTGAAGTTTTCTATAAATCTTGGATATAAGTTCTTTATCAGATATGTCACAACCAAATGTTTTCTCCCACTCTGTAGGTTCTCTTTTTACCTTTTTGGAGAAGTCTTTCATCGCACATAAGAATTTAATTTTTAAAAGGTCCCAGTCATCTAGCTTCTCTTTCACTGCCTATGCATTTTGGTATCCCAATGAGATGGTATCTCATTGTTATTTTGATTTGAATCTCTCTAGGAGCTCTGGTAGCATAGTGCCTAAGACATCTGACTGCTAACCAGAAGGCTGGTGGTTCAAACCCACCAGCCACTGTTGGAAGGAAGGTTGGGCAATCTACTTCCGTAGTGATACCACCTCAGAAACCCAAGGAGGGGTCACTATGAGTCAGGGCCTACTAGATGGCAAAATAACAACAAACAACAAATCCAGAAGGTATATCTATATATCTATATCTGTATCTGTGTCTATATCTATCTGTTTATCTTATCTATCTATCAACATATCTCCTTGTGAATTTCTTATCAGATAGTTCTATTGCTTGTTCTTCCCCCATGATAGATAATTCTTTACCTTGGGCTTTTATTTCTATTGTCTTGTCTTTTTTGTTTGTTTGTTTGATATGAGGCTATCTCCTGTTTCCTAGACATATTGAAGTTGTTGTTTTTAATTGTTAGTTATGTAATGATTTGTTTCACCCTGATTTTGTGCTTTACTATATCTGAAAGTGTGGAGCAGGTGTACTTTTTTGGTTATTAACTCAGCTATACTGGGTTGCTCTCCAGTTCTCTCTGTGTTGGTGGAATCAGTGGTAGGGATGTGGGTGCAGGTCTCTGTTCATTGTGAAGAGGATTTGGAGTTGGGATGAGCAGGTGTTGTCCACTGTCTGTCATTGATTCTGTGGTGCAGGAGTTATTGGTGTTACCTATTGGGTGAGGTGTCCAGTGTAATAACTCTTGTTGCCTGGTGGTGGTTTAATGTGCTCTTTCTATTGGATGAGGCTGGAGAGAACAGGAAAAAAGAAAAAAAGGTGCCAGTAGAGAGTCCCCGTTTTCCACATTTGAGCAAGACAGTTCAGTCAGGGCTGCCAACAGAGGCAGTTAATTTTGTGTCTTCCTGAAGAAGCTATTAATGATGACCTCCTACAGATAGAGATAGATAGAGAGCCACTACTTTCCTCTTAGATTGAGAAGTCACAAAAACCCAGTACCCCAGTCCACTCTTTGCTGAAAAGGTGTCACGTAAGAGTTGAACCCCAGACCACCGCTGTCCACTCGCTCCGGGGCTCTGCCTACTTGGAGGGAGTTTCTCCCTTTCTCCAATTCCTTTCTGAACTCTGTGGCAGCCCAAGCCAAGGGAGAGGGTGTCTTGATCTATTTCCCAGTAAAATTATCTACTCACTCAGCTCCCAAGGTTTCTGTCAAAAACTTTCTGTGTGGGTATTCTGAGTCCCCAATGTCTCTGTGGGTTCCATGATTTTTTTTCCCCTCCTTCTCTCTACTGACCTCTTTTGTATTTCCAATGAGTCTTCTCCTTCTCCTTCTCTCTATCTCTACCACCTACGCGGATTTGTTTATTTTTCCCAATTGTTTAATCTGCTCTTTTTCTCCACCTTCACTAAATCTTATACTTTATCTTTTCCTTAGTTGCTCATAACTCCAATATAATTATTTCTTTCTGCTTTACCTAGTTATTCAGGGTTAAGTTGGTCGAAAGAAAAATGTGTCAGTTATAAGTATGACACCGTCTTCCTATCCTTTTCATTGAGTTTTTGATTTAACATTTTCTCATCTTTCATGATATTAGGGAAGTTGTCTTCCTACAAATCTTTAACAGTTTTTGTGATGTGTATGTGTTTTCTCTTTCTGTTCTGGAATTCCAATCACACTTAAGTTATTCCTCTTTATGTGCCCAATGTAACATTTAGCTTTCTTCATTTAATTTTTTTTTTTTTTCTGATCGTTCCTCTCACAAATTAGTGTTGAGAGATTTGTGTTCAATATCACTAATTGTGTGTTGTACTGATTCATTTCTCCTCCTTTGTCCTTCCAATGTGTTATTTATTTCATAAATTTTAGTACTCATCTTTTGGTTTTCTATTTGCTGTTTTTGTATGACTTCTAATATTCCATTTATTTTGTCAATTTGTACTTGAATTTTTTTTAAAAAAATTGTTCTAGAGTTTTGTCTGTGTTCTCCTGTGATTTTACTGAGGTTTCCTTGAACTTTCTCTCCAGCCATTGAAATAACTAAATATAATTCTTTTTAATTCCTTATGAGGTAGTTCCAATAGCATGTCTCCTTCTGGAATATTTTTTGGCCTTGCAGTTTGGTGACTTGTTTGAGCCATCTTGTCCTGTGTGTGCATGTGTGTGTGTGTGTGATTTGAAGTTTTCTGTTGCCTCCGAGACATATAGTGCTATTGTAATAATTTGTTGATTGTATGTTGGATTGTTGCACCTTGATTTTTATTTTGTTTCAATATATCCAGATAACAGGGTTGGCATGTTACTCATTGCTAATTTGGCAGTTCAGAGCACTCACCACCTGTCTAAAGGTGGATTGGGTAGCAAGTGGGATGGTTGATATGAGTCTCTGATCACTGATTGTGCAGCAAAGCAGAGGGAAGATTGGGTGGGAATTGGCTACCATCTGGTGGGCTGGGGGGGATGGTAAGGGGGGAAATCCACCTCCATAATCACCTGATCACTGATGTGAGTGCTGGGGCAGTCCTGGGTGAGTACAACAGTTTATCTCATTCCTTCTCAGATCAGAATGTTGCTTGTGATAATTCCAAATGTCAGTTTACTTTTCCTTGTTCATTACTTTCATGTCTCTTCCTCTAACTGATATTTGATCTACTCTTTATCTTTTATCTTTTCCTTAGGTTTCAGGATTGTCATCTGCAGCCATTTTCCTTGGTTTCTCAAGCCTTTGTTTTAGAGGGTCTGGATAATACACCTGCCTAGTCTGCCATCTTGGATCCTCTTCTTCAACTCTGCTCTTAACTACAACCTCTGTTTATCTTCCCTTTTCCATGTCACTTACACTGTCCCCTTTGCTGATGCTGTGAGGAAAGCTCCAGTCTCTGAGACTTTGCACTGTCTATATCCCTGCCTAAAATGCTCTTCTCAGATCTTTTTCTTAGGTTGGCTAGCTTCCTAAAGGGAGCTCTGGTGGTGTAGTGCCTAAGGCATGTAACTGCTAACCAGAAGTTTGGGAGTTTAAATCTACCAGACATTCATCAGAAGGAAGGTTGGGCAATCTACTTCCGTAGTGATACTGCCTCGGAAACCCAAGGAGGGGTCGCTATGAGTTGGATCCAACTGAGAGCAGTGAGTTTTTTGTTGTTGTTGTTGTTGTTGTTGAACTTCCTAAATGTCTTCATATTTTTCGCTCAAAGACTTTTTATCAGAAGAGACCTACAAACAATAATTTTTTTAACTCTATAATTTATTATCCTGCATTAATTTACTTCATATTTATAATCACTATAAATCATTTACTAATTTATTCATAGTTTATTGACCCCCATTTCCAATAAACACATATCCTAGAAAAATATTGAAGGACAAGGATTTTGAAATTAATTTTTACTGATATTCCCAGTGTCTTCAGAAACACTTGGGATAAAATAATTGGTAAAAAATATTTGTTGAATAAACTAAACAAAATCTTGAGAAATTACAGGAAAGGAATGCTAGTCAGTTTCAGCATCAAGGAAAAGATAGAGCAATGGGGATCCCATGAAATTTCAGCTAACAGGCACTAGATCTAGAGATTATAGATAAGAATTAATTAATTAAACATTTAAAATCTAAACAGTAACGTATCTTTTAAGATTTAATGGTTAAGTGTTCATTGCTCCCCCCCCCCCCCCCAATAGTTTCGTCAGCTACATGAAACCAGGAAACCAAACACGTGCTTCAGAATTCATCCTTTTGGGGCTCTCAGAAGAGGCAGAGCTGCAGCCCCTCCTGTTTTGGCTGTTCCTGTCCATGTACCTGATCATCTTCACTGGGAACCTGCTCATCATCTTGGCCATCATCATGGACCCCCACCTCCACACACCCATGTACTTCTTCCTCTCCAACCTCTCTTTTGCAGACATCTGTTTAACCTCCACCATCATCCCAAAGATGCTGCTGAATATCAAGAGGCAGAATAAAGTGATTACCTATGAAGCTTGCATCACCCAGATGTATTTTTCCTTGCTTTTTGCAGCATTTGACCACTTTCTCTTGACTGTGATGGCCTATGATCGGTTTGTGGCCATCTGTCACCCTCTGTACTATACAGTTAAAATGAACCCCAAGTTCTGTTGCCTCTTGCTTCTGACATCCTGGTTATTGAGTGTTCTGGACTCTCTACTAAATGGCTTAATGGTTCTGCAATTGTCTTTTTGTACAGAATTGGAAATCCCCCACTTTTTCTGTGAACTTAATCAGGTCATCCAACTTGCTTGTTCTGACACTTTCCTCAATGGCTTAGTGATATATTTGATAACTGGATTTCTTGGTGTTGTACCAATTTCTGGAATAATTTTCTCTTACATTAAGATTGTGTCCTCCATTTGGGGAATTTCATCAGCTGGGGGCAAGTATAAAGCCTTTTCCACTTGTGGTTCTCATCTCTCAGTTGTTTCCTTGTTCTATGGTACAAGTCTTGTAGTTTATCTCAGTTGCGCTGTTACCCAAAACTCCAGGGATATTTCAATAGCTTCAGTAATGTACACTGTGGTCACACCCATGCTAAACCCCTTTATCTACAGTCTTAGAAACAAGGACATAAAACAGGCCCTACGAAAACTTTTCAACTGAGAAGCATTCTTTGTGTAATAGGATTATTTTTCTCAAGATTATAGAGTTGTTCATGAGAGACAGAGCTCAGAATCTAGTTCATCTGGTCTCAGGGTCATGAAAGGTGATGTTCATGTGGGCCATTATTTATTTGGATTAATCGTTTCTTTGTATATTTGATTTTCTTCAGTCTTCTTTGCTGTGTATGGGGAGAGACCAATAGTTGTACCTAGAAGGCTGCTCACAGCTTTTAAGACCCCAGACTCTACTCACCAAAATAGGATTAGAACATTGTCTTTGTGGACTATGTTATGCCAGTTGGCCTTGTTTTCCCCTGAGACTATTGTTCTGAGCCTCCATGCCCAGTGACTCATTCCTTCAAGG